TTGGTTTACAACATATAATTTGGGTATGACGTTTTATTGTTTTTGAGTATTTCTGGTATTTCATATAAACATTGATAAATAATTGATAACCAAATAAGAAATAATAAACGGGGTGTATATGTTTTATTAAAGCTTATAAATTAATAAAACAAAATTATTCTTCTTTTTCAATAATCAAATATAAAAAGCTCAATCAAAAAATGATGTTGATATTGTTTAGTGAAACAAAATGAATACACTTTAAGAAACAACCAACGACTTTCAACTTTGATGTTTTTGCTTTTAGTACCTGAGTGTTATGTAATATTGAAGTTAACAAAGATTGAAACAACTTTTTAATTCGAGGTTATAGTTTGTTATTAATAACAAAAATAAATACTATAAGTAGGTAGGATAATATTTATGAAAATAGAGGTATAACTAAAAAACAGCAGAAGAATGGTGTTTGTTATTGGTATCACAGGGAGAATTTGTAGTGGGAAATCAACATTATCAAAAACCCTGATTAAAAGGAAAATCCCAGTTATTGATTGTGATAAATTAGGACATGAACTATATCAAAAAGGGTCAATTGTTTATGATGACTTTATTAAGTTATTTGGAAAAGGGGTTGTAGGTGTAGATGGGACAATTGACCGAAAGAAGTTATCAGAGCTTGTCTTTTCAAATCCACAAAACGTGAAGATAATCAGTGATTTAACATGGCCTGCTATATACAAATTACTCCAAGAACGAATTAAGTCATTAGAAAAAGAGGGTTATCCAGTTGTTGGAGTTGAAGCCGCATTATTGATCAGAGCAAATTGGCCAATTATAAATATTATTTGGGAAACTAGAATTGATGAGGTTGAAACAATCAAAAGACTCAAGACCAGAAATGGTTTGAGTGAAGAACAAGCAAAGAAAAGAATTCAGTCACAACCAACACAAGAAGAATATGACAACAAGAGTCAAGTTCAGATTAATACTATGGGAACCATTGAAGAAACTGCAACACTCATTAACAAGGAAGTTGACAAATTATTAGAACAATTGAAAATTACTTTAAACTAAACAACAGCATTCTACTTATTTATTTTTTGAAGAGGGGTTATCTAACTTATACAATAAACAACTCAAAAGATAAAATACTAAATAGCAAAAGGATTTAGGTTTAATAGTTTTTCTTTCTAACAACCCTACTAAGAACTATCATACAATCATTTTTGAATTACCGACAACATTGGGAAAGGGAAAATTTTAGGTGTTGAAAAATAAAATTAGTTTGTTCGAATAAGTTATTTATGTTTACAGTGAATTTAGTATAGAGGTTAGTTGTGGAACATTGTTCATTCCTATAAATAAGTAAATAAAGATATCAAGAAAAATAAAAAAAGTTTAAAAGGTATATTTTAAAAATAAGGGTCTTCAGGGGTCATTGGGAAATGCTCATATTGTTGGTAAGATGTACATTATTAAACACAGGTGAAATAAATTATTTAACTTATATAATGGTATATAATTATTAAAGACTATAATATTTTATTTAATGTAAATATTTATATTTTGGGGATTTTCACTAATAACACTTAATGACTATGTTATTACCTTTATAATAATACTTTTTCATTCACCCATTTATGTTTCTATCTTTTAAATATTTATTATTGACTTATAAAGTATTAGTTGTTTATTACTATATTTTTATTGGGTTATGAAATATTCTCTGGATATATTTGTAATATCTATGATAATTTGTAATTACAATAATTAAGAATCAATTTTTAAATATTAATAAAAGTATAATGTTAATATGATTCATATTATTTATATTTATTGAATAACAATAACACTAATGCTAAACTGAAACCATTTGACTAAACAGAATATTCAATAATAATGTTTATATATCGTTACTAGTACATTTATTTTTAATTAACACTTTCTTTTATCAATTAAATTTAAAAAAGTATGGCTTTTAATGTCAATTAATTTTCAGTAATTCTATCAATATTCTTTATTTGATTAAACAGACCTTCTTATGCATTTAATTGAAGATTTCTTTTGTTTAGTTTACTTGAAATTGTTTATTTTTAAAAAATTCAGTTTTCGTATATTGCTTTTGTATATTAAATTATTATACCCGTACCATATAACTATAACGTCAACATAACCATTTTCAGTTATTGATATAAAGCCTGACGACCCTAATGATCAGATAAAATAGAATCATTTTCTTGACTAACCTAATTACTAATAGCCTTCACATGAAAACTCAGATTTATACTTTCTTCATTAAAGTCATTTCATTGTTTTAATATTAATACTATTGATGATTGGCTG